GGGTGCTGGTCATCACACTCTGGCTGGGATGGGCTCCTTCCTGCCAAGCCTGAGACAGGAGCCGCCTCTGTCTGCATCTCATGGGGAGGGGCTGAGAACTCACCTGTCCCTGTGCCCCCTGCTGCTGGGGCCTCAGGTGGGACTCACCATAGAAGAGAAAGGGTTAATTTTTACGGTTTCCTTAGGTTACTTCAGTGATAGATGTTCCAGAAATGTTTAATTTTCCAAATCTGTTCGCTCACCAGTTTACATTAGAAAGGTGACTCATGCCCCCCAACACATTTTTAGAGCTGTTTCCCCAGTTTGTCAACTGGTGACCTTGTCCTACGCTGCCTGGAGGCGCCACAGCAGAGCATGGGCCTGGTTGGGGAGGCCATGGCTGTTCTGTCCTTAACTCATGTGGGCAGCTCGCTTCCCCGGCTTTTGTCCTGTCCACATGTCCTGAGAGCGTCCGGCTCTGGCCATTGTTCTCCCTAAGTGATGTGCCGGCCGGGCATGGACTCCATGCCAGGCTGGGCTCCGTGTCTGCCTGTGGGCCCAGACAGCGTCCCCCGTCCCGCAGGAGGCCGGGGTCCAGGGGAAGACCTGCTGGTGGTACACCAGGGAGAGCCCGGATGATGGCCCCTCATCAAGCCTGGGCTTGCTGGTCCCTCAGCTAACAATCCATGGTGTTACTGGGCAGGAGCAGAGGATGGGAAGCAGTGGAAAACGTAACTTGAATCCACATTAGTAAACTCGGAGTCAGCATTTGCTTCCCGACTGTTAAAATGTGACCCACCCGCTGCTGTCGTTGATGGGGTTTGGCCTGTGCCAGGCCCACAGGGTGACTGGACTGGGACGGATGGGCTGGCTGCTGTGCCGTGGGGGGCTCCAGGCTGCTGACCTGCTGCAGCCCTGGGGTCTGCTTGTGCCAGCGGGCGAGGCGCTGGCATGGCTGACCTGGCCCTGTAGAGCGGTGGGCTGGGGTGACCAGCAGGACCAGGGGCCTCCAGCCGGGGCCAGCCGCCTGTCCCAGGAGCCGCCCGTGCTGGCCTGCCTCCTTCCTGGGCTGTTTTCAGGCAGTGGTCCTGTCTGCCCAGCTGTCGCCCGTGTTCCAGCCTGTTCTTCCCCAAGCTGCCAACGCAGGGAAGTTACCCTACTTTTCCTGTGTGAAGGAGGCTTTTTCAGTAAAATCAGAAATTTTCTAAACTGCGTGTTTTCAAGTGTTCTCATGTTTGAATTTCATGCTAAGCAGAGCGCTCAAGTCAGTGCCCTGGGCCAGGCCAGAGACTGACTGCCTGCTGGTGGTGGGGCTTCTGCCCTTGAGCTGCGGGCAAAGGTCAGGCCTGGATGGAGGGCCACTCAGGGGAACCCTCCAGAGGCTTAGTTTTGTAGCTGCTGATAATTGCAGGCTAGAAATCATTCTTCAGTTCCTACAGAGAACACAGTGTCCCGTCACATTGCTGAGAACGCTCCTCCGTATCGCACTGTGGGGGACAGAAGCAGAGAAGGAAGACTGGGCATTTGGGGCTTTGCTCATTCCTGGTGCTGGTCGCCCGTTTTCTCCGTGCATTCACGCGCTCCTTCTCTCACTCATCATCTGACAGACACTTGCAAGGCACCTGGTGTCTGGACAGGACCTACAGAGTTGACTTGCGCACAGTACCTGCCCCGGGGTGAAGCCCAGGATGCTGGGAGAAAGGCTGAACTCGAGGTGTTTAGCAGCAAGAAGAGGGGCAGGCTGACGGCACAGGGAGTTTAGGGAACTCTCCAGGTGTTTGGCACGTGACTAGCTCTGCCCTGGAAGGGACAGGGAGGCCCGGGAGGAAGGCTGGAGTGTCAGCGACACCGGGTGGTTGGGTATGGATGGGGTGTCGTCTGGCACTCGGTGCCACCGGCGGGTGACACCCGTGGGACGTGTTGGGGGACTGAGGGCTGAGGATGAGATGCATTCTCAGCATTCCAGTTTTCTCAAGCTGTGGGCCATTTATGGGACCCTCACAACATCTTGAGTGGAACCTCTGGAGGCATTAAGTGCTCCCAAGATGTTGGGCTAGCGTCACAGGGAGAGGATTGCCCCCTCCTGCCTGGGGCTCTTGTCTGTGCAAAGCTGTGTGTCTCAGTGCTGCCGGGCAGGCCCCACCCAGCGCCATGCCGTTGATGGACTCCTGGCCTCTTTATGCTCCACTAGAGCAGGTGGGGGCTTCTCTTTGGTAGTAAAATTAAGTTTAATAAAAAATAATTGTATTTAGTAAAACATAAGTTGATTAGAAGAACACGGTTAGACAGACCACAGTGTGGCCCCACCCTGCCCCGTGTGCAGAACTTCTGGAATGGGGGCCCTGTGCAAGAGGCTGGAGTCCTGTCCTCCCCGTCTCTCAGGGCCCCTGGGAGGGTTCCCAGCACATCACAGTCTTCCGGGGAGCCAACTAAACACAGATTCTCAGACCCCACCTGAAAGATTTTGATGGAGAAAGTCGAGATGAGCCTGAGAACCTGTGTTCTTAAGCCCTTGAGATGAGGGTGCTGCCCAGCCCAGGGTGGGGACTGCTGAGGTCAGCCCCGCGGCTCCCTGTTGTCAGGCTGGCCTGCCTCTGAGCTGGCCCTGTGCCCCCCCGGGCCCTGGCAGTTGCTCAGGCCTGAGCTCCTCAAGGGCCTCTCACCTGTGTTGACCCAGCGCCCCAGGACAGGGGGACGGGCCCTAGTCTGCGGGCCGGGGGCGCGGAAGATGGAGCTCGAAGGGGCCCAGTGCAAAGAAGACATTTTGTTGACAACTTAGGTTTTATCCTAAAAATTAATGATGATGATTGACTTCATAATGCTTATTTATTTGGTTTCACTATAAGAATAGCTTTCAGATTTCTGAGGGTGATCTGTTCTTACTGCCTAGTGTGACTCCGTTTGCTTCCAGCTGACTCCAGCCTTGATAGAACATGGCTCCCTGGTTCACGCTCCATTCCAGCCCCTTGTGCACAGAAATGTTCTCCTTAGGCTTTCACAGGGAGGACAAACGGGATTGGTAATGCAGAAATGCAGGAGTCTTCCTTCAAGCTTGCATGGGCTTGGGCCAGAACCCCTCAGTCAAGCAAAAACAAAACAAGCCCCCCTCTGCTGGCATGTGAATTGCCCCTCTGGGGAGAGGGGCCCCTGCCCATAGGAGCTGAATACCCCGGGGGAACAGATACCAGCCAGAGGAGCCCCTACTGCCAGGCCTTCCCTCTCTGCCTGCTTCCTGGCCTTGGCACCCTGGGCCCAAGCCTGCCCTATGCTGCGCCCGGAGCCCTCGGTCCCTACATTTGTCCCTGAAGAGGCAGCACATGGTGGGCCTTGAGGCGTTTGGGGTCTTCCCGCTGCCTCGTCCCACTAGCGTCCTCCCTGGCATCTCGCCCCCAGCTGGCTGCAAGGGCTTGGAGCTGAGCCTGTGTGCTTCTTCTCAGCCCTGTGTCATTAGTCACTGTCTTGTTGTGATTGATCTTACAGTGTGTTGCTGGGTCTGCCGCACCATGTGGCCCAGCTGTTCCCCCGCACCCGGCCTGCATGTGTCCTGCCCTGCCTGCCACGTCGAGGGTGCCCAGGCATGTTTGTCATGCTCAGCCGCGGGCAGCAGTGGCTTGGGGTGGGGTGTCGTAGCAGAGCCAGTGAAGGAACTGGTTCCAGTCATGGGAGCCAGAGCTGTCTGGAGCCAGAGCTGTCCACAGAGCTTTTCTGTGACCCGCCTTCCTCCTGTGGACGAGAGCACCCCGCCAGGCCGACTGTAAGCCAGAGTGACTGGAAGGTGCAGCGGGTCTCAGGACAGGGTCCTCCCACCCCTCGCACCCCCCTCCTCTGTGCTTGGTAGTGAGGAAAGCCTTGTCTCTGCAGTACTTCAAGTTACCAGAAACATGAGTAAAAACAAACCAGTAAGCAACAAAACATGCTTATTTATTTGCTTGTTCTAGAACTTTCTTTGGGAGAGCTGGAAAACCTGTAAGCTTTTTTCAGGGTCACTTCTCAGGGCTCTCAGGGCTGGTCACAGGGGAAGGTAAGCCCCAGAGAGAAGGAACTTGCATGTAACTCAGCACCTCACAGAAAGGATGTGTGCGGAAAGACTGCTTTTAGCAGTGCTTGGTGGACCCTGATTCAACACAACATGGGAAGGTTCTGGTTCCAAGTCGGGACCTGTTCAGCAGTACTTGCTTGTCTTATGAAACAGCACAGAGTGGGTCTTCACAGGGCAGAATGCTAGGAAGCAGCAGGGTCACCACGATCCCCAGAATCTTTGCTTCCTGCAGAGGCACCTCCAGGATTTATGGACTGTGGAGCTTCATGGAGCTCTGGAGCCTGCCCCCCAGGTTGCTGAGCACCCAGCAGAGAGGTCTGGGCCGGGAGCACAGGGGACCTCAGCTGCGGAGCATGTTGCAGCGGGATGGGGAGGAGCCGCTCGTGGCCAGTGGGAGATTGAGCATCAGGGAAATGATGGTTCTTCTGAAGGGTCAGCTCTCCTCTCTGGAGGCCAGCCTCAAACCTGGAATCCAGAGGCACCCAGCCTAGGGCCCAGGGCTGTGTCCCACTTGCCCACTCACTGGCTGGGTCTGGGAGCAGGTGGAGAATTGTCCCCAGACGAGCTTGAGGTCGTTTTGGGAGCCGGTGAGCTCTCCCTCTCTCTGTCTGAGCCCCTCCTGGAACTGCAGCCTGTGCCTGGTGGACTTGCCCGGGGCGGGAGAGCACTCACTGCGTGTCCCAGAGCATCCGCTGGCCTCGCAGACCAGTTTCTCACCCGAGAGGCAAGAGTGGTCCTGCCCCTCTTACCGGGGGCAGGGTGCACACATGACCTGGGGGGCCACCCTTGCCACTGTTCCCGTCACAGCCACCACTGCTGCTCCCTTTCCAGAGGAAGAGTCAATCTGAACTCTTTTAATGGAGGTGACTTCTTCGCTCCCTGGGGACGTTGCTTGGGCGTCTGGTGGTTGGAGTGGGTGGTTCCAGGCGGAACCCTGGGGGCTCTCCCTCACAGCCATGGGGCCTGTGTTTGTCTCGCACAGAGCAAGTCCACCGGCACCTGGACCAGCACGAGGTGAGGTACCTGCAGTTCGCCTTCCGCTGGATGAACAACCTGCTGATGCGGGAAGTGCCCCTCCACTGCACCGTCCGCCTGTGGGACACCTACCAGGTGAGCTGTCCCCGCAGCCCCCGCGGCCTCCTGCCGCGCCCAGCCCAGGCCCGCTGACTTTCTGCCCGCTCGGCGGCCGCCCAGGGAAGGGTCTTTTCTGGTGTTCTTGTCAGCGGAGTAGACGTAACACCGGGAAGAAGAACTTCCTGTCGTTCTGTTTGTAGTTGAATTTCATTCCGACCGTGTGATGCCAATGTCCCCAGGGCTCATGAGCAATTTACATTTCGTCGGGGTCCTAGGGGCGCGGTGGGGGATTCTTGTAACTCGGCGCACGTCTGCGCCACAGCTGCCAGAAACATTCACACTCAGGACTCACACGTTGTCTGTTTTGAGTTACTTATAATAAAGATTTTTTAAAAAAATCACTGACAGATTCAGTGCAATATGAAATTTTCTCCTCTCCACCAATTTTGATGAAATTCATTTCTTCTGGAGATTGAGTTTTCTGGAACAAACCACCTTTGTTCCCCCGAGTGTCCCATTGCTTATTCTAGCACCTTTTCATTTTGCTGGAGATGTTTGCTGAAGCTGAGGCCGTGCCGCGGGGCTTATAGGCCCGCTTTTCATCATCCCTCGCAGATAGCGGGAGCCTTCCGTGGGACGGAGAGTGGAGGCCTGCGGAGGCTGCTTTCTTCACTCTGAGAGGCAGGGTTTTTGCCTTTGTGGGCTCTGGACTGGGAAAGGGAGCGCCGGGCGGCAGCTGGTGTGTAGGGCAGCGTAAGTCCCCCCCCCTTGGGGCTGGCCTCCGGTGTGGGAGCCCTGCATGTGGATGTCCATGGACGTGGTGGTGGGAGGCAGGAGGCCCCTGAGAGCGTGTCCTGCCCTTCCCTTCCCTTCCCTCCATTGCGGGAGCCCTTGGTCTGGACCTGCGTTCTTCCTGTGGGATCCGAGTTCTAGCTGCTACGCGGCCCGGCCCAGGCACCCGCCGCTGTCTGACTCTGAGCTTGTGGTCATGGGAGTCAGCTAGAGCAGCAACCCGAAGTTCTGTTCCTGACGGTGGTCCTTGTGTCCTGCGTGGGCTCGGGGGTGTTTTGTGGTTCTGAAGCCCCGTGCTTTGACTTTGCTTTACGTTTTTGCGGCTTGCTTATTCGAATCATATTCACTACAGAAATTATGGTGACTCAGTTGCTTGCATCCAGATCCCCCACTTTGGTTTTGCTTTTCTAAGTACTTGGCAATTACAGAATTTCTGGCCACTGACATTTGCTGGGACATAAAGCCTTCCCTGGGCTGTTTGGTGCAAGTGGCCGTCAGCCTGGTGCTATTAACTGGGTCTTGGTAGCGATGTAGGAAACAAACTTAATATCCCGTGACGTGGGAACGCTCTCCGTTTGTGATGGGTTAGGCTGTCGAAGACCCTGGCCCCCTCATTAAACACACAGTTCCCTGTAATGCTCTCCCCATTACAGATAAATTAGGTATGAAGTCAGTCGCATTGTGAGGAGCCAGACAATGGATCTGTGCACCACTTCGCTAAAACTCCTAATAGGTATTGAAACTTTAAGCACAGTTGTGGCATCTTTATTGCGTTAATTTTCCTGAAATTAAATTTTGTCATGAATTGACTCATTTGTACTGTGGACTCATTCTTGAACTGACAGTACCCTGGTCATAAACCTTTTCGTATCTTAAAAATTGGGGGTATTTCTATTTTACAGGCCCAAGTAACCATGAAATTGTATTACATCTTTTGGCAATGAAAATACATAGTAATCACAGGATGGCATTCAGGTGATTACTCTCCCCTAAACTGGGATGTTTACCAGCTGGGCCATTACAGGTGTTTCCAAAGCTCTTTAACCCCTCGGAGGTAGCTTGAAGCCCTCTGGGGGCATGTGCCCACCAAGGGTTTTGGAGAGCAGCTACTCTGGCCCTGGCTCCCAACTAGGTCGTGGCGTGAAGATGAATGAGGTGCATCATCACAGGCGTGACAACAGACATTTAAGAAGCACAGACAATCCAGCAAGAGCCCGTGCTTCAGGAAGCTGGCCCCTGCTCCTGGGGCACGTTGCACATTCGTTCTAAGCGGGACAGCTGGAGTGGGCAGTGTGGCTCCTGCGGAGCCTCGGCTGTGGGGACCGGTGCCAGGCCTCTAGGACTCGGCCACCAGCTTTGCGCTTGGCTCCCCGTCCCTGGGCTGTGGCAAAGGGGCATCCTGCCCTTCACCCATCACATGGTTGCAGATTACCTCCAGCAGGAGAGACCCCTGAGCTTGTTTTCTGCCTTCACTGTGGTCCCGGCACAGAGGTGCGGCTGGGGAGCTGCTCCCTCTGTCCTCTCCTCCCGAAGGGATGACAGTGGAGGGGGGACGGCAGCTTGCCGGCCCTTGGCCTCCAGCTGAGCAGAAGTTTCTTCCCTGAGTGCGCTTCTGTCCCAGTGGGACAGATGCAGGAGTGTAGAGAAATGAGCCCCTGGCAGATGCAAGGCTCTCGTTAGGTCGGGGTGTTTGCTGTGGAGAAAACAGTGAGGAGCAGGGAGCCGGGTATGAGGGAGAGTGAGGGGAAGTGGCTCAGATGGTCCTGCCAGATGGAGGGGAAGAGCCCAGATCCCGCGGGGGGCTGGACCTGCAGTCCTCCTGGTGCCAGCGGAGCTGAGGCAGTGACGTGCAGGGCATGACCTGGGCGTCGGGAGCTGCTGTAATCCCTTGGGGATCACGTCCCATGGGCCTGGGGACGGCTGTTTTGTCGAGGTCTGAGCTGGGACCTGAGTGAGGGGTGGAGAGAGCCCCATGAACACCCAGGGAGAGAAGGTTTGGGACAGAGGGCGCGGCACATCAGGAGTAAGCACTGTCCCCTGCTCCTCGGGCCCCTCCTTGCAGCAGCAGAATCCTGGGGAGGGCACAGAGGTCGCTGTCTGCCTTCCCCCACCGTTTCCCATGGTTGCTCTTTAGTCCGGAGGCCTGTGGAAGCCCCTCGTCTGGCAGGTCCTGGGACAGAAGCTGCCATTGTGTCTGAGCCTGGCTGCTTGACCTCCCGAGATTATGGGAGAGGATGTGCCTTGTACCCTGTTGACGAGGGGTTCCTAACCCTCGAGACGTGGTCTGGGGTGAGCTCTGCCTCCCCGTGATGGGGTGTCCACCAGAAGGGACCTTGCTGGGGAGGAGACGGGCCCAGAGGGGTTGGCAAACACAGGTTTCCCCAAGGGCACAGACTGAGGCCAAGTTTCTGGATTGTAATTCCTCTGTGCTAAATGGCATTAGAACGTCATTCAGCTCGGGATTGCTTTAGCTACTCGGGGTCTTTGATGGTCCCATATGAATTTTAAGTTTGCTTTTCCATTTCTGTGGAAAATGTCACTGGAATTTTGATGGGGATTGCGCTGAGTCTGCACGTGGCGTTGGGTAGTGTGGGCCTTTTGCACTATTAATTCCTCAGGTTCACGAGCACCGGACATCTTTCTGTTTGTTGTGTCATCCTCAGTCCTGTTCATCAGTGCTTCCGTTTCCAGTGTGCAGGCCTGTCACCTCTGTGGTTGGATTTACTAAGTATTTTATTCTTTTCGAGGCACTTGTCCATGGGATAGTTCCCTATAGTTCACTGTTAGGGTAGAAAAATGCAAGTGATTTTTGTGTATTGATGTTTAACTTGCAACTTTACTGAATTTGTTTATTCCAAGGAAGTGAGATCAGTATCCCAAGAGGCACATGCACCCTCATGTTCATTGCAGCATTATTCACAATGGCCAGGACATGGGAGTGACCCAGTGTGGGTGTGTAAGCATATGAAGGTGCAGGGGGATGTGGCCAGGGTGCGACGGGGAGGGAGGGGAGGAGAGGAAGCCCTGGCATGCACAGAGCCAGTGGGAGGGATTCTGGAGCAGCGCATGCAGAAGAAGGTTCTAGGGTGATGGAAGTGCCCAGTGGGGTAGCCTGTGGTCGTAGTGGCTTATTCGACATTGAAAAATGTGACTGAGGACCTGAAGTTTTAATTTTAATTTATTTAAACTTAAATTGAATAGGCCCACACAGTGAGTGCCTCTCCAGAGAGCCTTATGTGGAATGCAGCTCTGGGAAGGCAATGGTGGGGTCAGTGGGTCATGGTGGGGAGCGGGCAGCTCTGTTTGGAAGGCCCATGGACACTGGGGCACAGTGCCCTGGCCATTGATGGCTGTAGACAGGTGCACTTTGGGTGGGGTGGGCTGACCTCAGCTTGTGTTGAGGTGACCCCCCATCTTCTGAGTAGTGTGGCTGTGAAGGGGAGAGGGAGGGGGACGGGGTGGGAAGGGGATGGAGGGCTGGTTGCTGGTTGTGCAGTGGGCAGTTCTGAGCATTTCCAAGCTCATGGAGTTGCCATTGGTGCAGTGGGGAAAGCTCTCTGGGTGGTGGGGACGTTGCCGCGGGCTGGGGTCCCTTCCTCCCCAGGGTCCTGCGAGGCTGATTCAGAAGTGAGTGTGCCGCCAGGGTGTGTCCTGAAATGAACACCACCTACAGCTTTCTGAAGGGAAATGGAGGAGCTGGGTCCCTAGGGGAAAGTCAGGGCTCTGCCTGGTGCTTGGGGAATGAGCTGCTGCGGAGCTGGCCCTTGGGTGGGCGGTGTGTTCTAGTGAATGCCACCTTCCACCTGCCTTGTCCAGCACCGCCCAGTCTCGTGGACATTTGTGGGGCCCCGCGTGTGGGGCTCCGCGTGTGGGGCTCTACTAAGGGCTCTTGTCCTCCATCCTGAGGCTAGGGACGGCTTTGGTAAATGGGGGTGGTGCCGACGGATCCCTTGGAGGCCTTACGCTTCCTGCAACCTGGTGATTTTGTTTTAAGAAAAGGAAAAATTTCCTGTTGCCAGGTGAGTATTGCAAGATGACTTCATTTGGGTTAAGGCATTTATTAAATTCCTTCTTCGTGTTATCCAAAGGCCACCTGAATTCTAATGAGGACACTTCCACTCTCCATACCCCAAAGAGCGTCTTCAGTCACACTCTCCACGGGCCTGGTGGTAAATCACGGGAGAGGGACTGCTGAGCTCACCTTTGGATCTGGTCGTTTGCACGCCGTCTGTCTTAGGTCGTGA